TTGGGGGTGGGAGTGGGGGGATGGGGGGCGGGCCCCTCCTGCCCCTCCTGCTGCCAGCACCGTCTCTCCGAGGCCCTCGACGCCCAGCCATGGCCTTCCGTGCCCGCCGGACGCTCACCAAGCCTGCCCGAGCCCCGAGCCCCGCCTCCCGCAGCCGGACCCAGGGCGGGGTGGGGGGACCGCACCGGTGCCAGGACGGAGAGAGGCCAGGGTGCGGCGCTGGGCGTGGTGCTGACACCTGCCCTGCCGGGGAGGGGACGGGGTTCCACGCCTGGTCCCTTCTCCACTGGGTCCAGGAGCCACCGTCACCTGCTCAGCCCAAGAAAAGGCCCCAGCAGTGCGGGTGTGAAGCAGGAGCAGCCCCGAGAGCTGTGCTGCCGGCGCTCAAGCCAGGCCGGGTCACCGCGCCCTGCCCGGGTCCAGGCAGCCCGGCCTTTCCTGCTGGTACCGGCGCGCCCGTGGCCGCACGGCTGAGAGCTCCGCGCACGGTGGGTCTGAGGGACTCGGAGCAGAGGTCGAGCTGGCGGAGTCCGGTTGGCGCCCGGCAGGAGGGCGGGAGGGCCCAGCCAGGCCGCCCTGAGCACTCCCCGCCCGGGTGCGCCCCGGGGCCGCGGCCCTCCCACCTCGGCCCTGCGAAACGATAGCCGGGAGCAAGCGCCGCAGCCGACTTCACAGTGGCGGCGACCAGCAGCGTGTGGAAAACAGCGTCTTCGTAAATCCTAAAAACACTGTGGCCGGGCGCGGTGGCTCACACCTACAATCCCAGCAATCTGGGAGGCCGAGGCGAGCGGATCACCTGAGGTTGGGAGTTCGAGACCAGGCTGACCAACATGGAGAAACTCCGTCTCTACAAAAAACACGAAAATTAGCCGGGCGTGGTGGCGCGTGCCTGTAGTCCCAGCTACTCGGGAGACTGAGGCAGGAGAATCGCTTGAACCCGGGAGGCGAAGGTTGCGGTGAGCCGAGATCGCGCCATTGCACTCCAGCCGGGGCAACAAGAACGAAACTCCGCCTCAAAAAAAAAAAAAAAAAAAGAACGTTGTGTTATTCGAGTTCTTTAAGCATCTGACATAATACCAGCAAGGAACGAGAAGGACCAGGTTTACGCGCTGCGGTGAAAACCTGGCTGTTCAAAGGCAGCCCCTCCGCAGCCAGCTCCCCTCTGGTGGACAGTGTCCCACATCCAGAGAAAACACCCGTCACTGAATGCTGGCGTCCCCACAAAGCGCTGCTCGGCCCCAAATCGTCCCTAACGCGCTGCGCAGCCCCAAGGCGTCCCTCTAAGCGAGAAACCGCCCCTGGCTGTGCTTGTAGGGGCCTGGCTGGGTCCGCAGGGCATGGCTGTGTCTCTCGGAGCGTGGCCCTTGTCTCGGGGGCCTGGCTGCTTCTGCACAGGTGTCAGTGTGTCTCCGGGGGCGTGGCTTGTCTCCGGGGCGTGGCCGTGTCTCTGGGGGCGTGGCTTGTCTCCGGGGCGTGGCCGCGTCTCTGGGGGCGAGGCTTGTCTCCGGGGCGTGGCCATGTCTCCTGGGGCGTGGTCGTGTCTCCGGGCGCGTGGCTTGTCATTGGAGGCGGTCTGTCTCTGGGGCGTGGCTGTGAGCCGGGGGCGTGGCTGTGAGCCGGGGGCGTGGCCGTGCCTCGGGAGCCCGGCCGTGGCCGCAGAACCGTTGCGTTTGAAGCGCTCCTTCTAGTTCCCGGATCCCAGGGAGGGGGCGGGAGAGCCTTGCGGCCAAGGCCTGAAGAAGCCCGTCCGGGGGTCAGCCTCCTCCTCAGGCGGCCCGGGCTGAGACAGGTGTCCCGCTGAGGGCAGTGTAGGGCGCGCTGCCCCCCGCTTCGGGCCGGGACCGAGGCCGCGAGTGTGACCGCGTATCCCTTCAGGTGGTTTCTGCAACATGTGAACTTGGTTAAAAGCTTCTAGAACGTTAAGCCAAACATCGTGGCTTTCCATCTGTTTTCTGTTCTGGTTTGAAAAAGTTCGCCGCCTTCCAGCCTGGGAGGAGCGGCGGGGCCCGGGAGGGGCCTCGGGAGGCCGCTCGCAGGGACCCCCAGGGACTGGCCGCCCCGCCGCAGGCCGGGCGCACCTCCCGGGGAGAAACGAGCAGCGCCAGCAAACGCGCACCCGGGGACGCGGCCGCCCAGCCCCGCTCCCAGCCCGGGGCCCGGGCCCCCCTCCGCGGTGCAAACCCCCTCCGCTGCCCCAGCTGCCGGCAGTTTGGCCCGAGCTCTGCCGCTGTAGGTCGGTGCCGCTTCGCCCGTCCCTCAGGCCAGCTTGGAAACTGTGTCCCACGCTCCTCGAAACACCGGACCTGCCCCCCGCCGCCCTGCGGAATGCGCCCCCCGACGCCTCAGTGGGTGGCCGGACGAGAGCACAGGTGCGCCAGCCGCACCTCCCCACGGCTCTGACACGCAGGGACCCCGCCGCGCTCCGCCGAAACTGCTCGGGTCCCGCGCGTGGCCGGCGCAAGAGCCACAGCCCGCGACAAGCCTGCTGTGTGCGGGTCAGTGACAGAACCCCACATCAAAACTGCAGAAACCAACAGCCAGCGAATGAGCTGGTACAGCCAGAGACCCCAAGGAGCTGAGGGAGCTCTGGCCTGTGGAGTCTCTTCTCACGTTTCCAGCATATGGGGAATGCTACACTGGGTCAGCCCCTGCCCCAGATCCTGCCCCGGCCTCCAGGCTCTGGGCTTTTCTCCCCTCTCTGGTAGCTTTTATCTCCATTGCAAGCCACTTTTTCCACTACTAGCAATTAAAGGCCTCCCTTTTCTCTCTACTCCCAAGAGACCTCATCCTCACCTGTGGACAGGTGGCCCCTAGCTCTCTTCTGCAGCCCAAACCACTGTGTCCATCTACTTTCTTGTGTCCCTAGACATAAAGGTACCCAAAACTTCCAGAGTGCTGAAGCCACACCTGGCCTTTCCCAGGGGCCCTGGTGACTGATTCCACCATCCATCACCCATCACCAAAGTGGAATCCCCCTTGCAACTCACCAGTGCTTCCCTGCCCCGGCCTGGCAACCACACTCAGTGGGAAGGCCTTGGCAGTGGCTTTCTTGACCCCCCCCAGCTGCTCCCAACCACTCAGCCACAGTAACCTTTCCAACATGCATATGGCCTCAATCAAACTCAAAATATTTCCTTGCTGCCTGCCACTCCAGCATAGAAACGGGACCCAGGTGACACAGGTGTCATGCTGCTGGGTCTCCAGCAACAGCCAGGACCTCCCCATTCCTGGTATTCCTGATATCCTCAGATCTCAGCTGCCCCAGGGGTGGAGGTTCTGGTCTTCTCATAAAACAAGAACAGTATAGGCATTTGCTTTTCATCAGTGTAATGAAATTTTAGGGACTTATGATCCTAAATCACATTACGCCGATGTGAACTGCACTCAAGTATTGTAAACTAAATTTGCAGAATAAGTAGGTTTTGTGCAATTCTTTGCAGTCTACTCAGCTCTTTCACCTCTGTGTTCAGGTTCAATCCTCATTCGTTCTTCCATGAGAGGTAGTTATCCCCAGATGCGTTCAATGCCCAGCTCTTTGCCCTGGCAGGCCCCGTCCCAGGGTCCTGGATGGCAGACACCATGCCCGCCCCGCGAAGCTCACGTCACCGAGCAAGCAAACCGCAGCTGGTTTAGGTAGACAGCAGCTGCCCACAACTGCTAACAGCCTCGCGTTTCTTTTCCGCAGAATCACTCACCCTAAATCTACACATTGTAGACTATCACATTGGTCTAAGTAGTGCTCCTCAAAATGCACTGCACGTTAGAGTCACCTGGGGAGCTTCACCACCGGGCTCCAGGCTCTGATTCGCCCTGTGGGAAGGGAGCACCGGGCACTTGTCCTGAGCCTTGGCCCCTGCCTGGGTCTGCAAACCCAGAGCGTCCACACACCAGGCTGCCTGTGCTTAACATTGTGTCCTTGAAAAGAGCTAGCTGCACTAATGCCCACTGATTTCACTGTGTGTGACCACAGTAAAGAGAAGCGGCTTTGAGGGATTTAGTGTTTTCACTCCAGTGCATTCCATTCTAAGGAAACGCCTGACCACGGCTCACGGCTAGGAGGCCCCTCTGTGCCAGATGCTGCCCTGGAGTTCAAGTGGAACATTTGCCGTCTGAACGCTTCCAAACTCCCCCCACCCATGACCTCATGGCCCACCAGGCGGCGACTTTTTCCTGGGTCGCCTGCCAGGGAGCTGTGTGGGGTGGGGGGGCTCAGGGGGCAGCTGCTGCCGCTGCAGGCCCAGGCGGACTCAGCCGCGCTAGGTCTGCTCCATCGCGCCCGTCTGTGCACAGTGACCTTTAGGGGAACTTGCCTTGCTTCCTAAGCCGCGACTCAGCCGGGGCTGTGTAAACTCCCTGCCTGGTCCCAGGCTAGGCTGGCTCCTCGCCTCCTTCCTCCCGACCGCGGAGCAAGTGCACTTTACCTGCGCACTTGCTGGTCTTTCTCCGGGAGTTAGTGTAAGGTCCGAATCTCCGCTCTGGATGGTGAGCGGAGCACAGCCTTCGAAGTGAGAACTCAGGGAAAGCTCCGCGCTGCAGCAGCGGGTCCCCCACCCAGGCACGCCCCCGGCTGGGCCCCGCCCACACCACGCCCCTCCCGGCCACGCCTACAACCCGGCCCCGCCCACACAGCTCCCCACCGGCCCCGCCCACAGCGCGCCCCCTCCTCACCCCGCCCCCAGCCCCCGGCGGCTCGGGCTGCGGCGGAGTCTCGGGCGCGGGCGGAGAGCGGATCCGTCTAAGGCCGCGCCCCGTCTCTCCGCGGGGACAGTTTCCAGCTTCACGTCTGAGGAGGCGGCTCAGGACCGCAGACAGCCTTTCCCTACGAACAAAATGCGCAGTGAACATTCTGTTCCCTTCCGAGCTCTCCCAGCGAAGCCCTCCAGCCAGGATGCCACGGTTACACCTGCCGACAGCCCCTCCTGCAGCACAGACACACACGCGAGATACACAGACACACACAGGTACACACAGACACACACAGATACACACACAGACACAGAGATAGACACACGATGTACACAGACACAGATACACACAGAGACACAGCAATACACAGACACGCAGATACAGGACACAGAATCACAGATGACACACAAAGACACACGCAGATACACACACAGACACACACACGAGATTACACACAGACACACACAGGTACACACAGACACACACAGATACACAGACACAGAGATAGACACGATGCACACAGACACAGAGATACGCAGATACACATACACACACAGATACACACAGAGACACAGCAATACACAGACACACAGATACAGGCCACAGAATCACGGATGACACACAAAGACACACGCAGATACACAGACACACAGAGACACACAGGCACAGAGATACACACAGATACAATCACAGATATACACACAGACACAGATACACAGAGATATATACAAATACACAGACACACACAGGTACAGACACATAGATACAGATATAGAGATACAGAGATACAGAGACACACACAGATACACAGATACACGGACACGTACAGAGATACACAGGCACAGATATACACAGACACAGATACACACACACAGATACACGCACACAGATACGCACACGCAGACACACAGATACACACAGATATACACACACAGATACACAGACACACACAGATACACAGATACACGGACACGTACAGATATACACAGACACAGATACACGCACACAGATACGCACACGCAGACACACAGATACACACAGATATACACACACAGATACACAGACACACACAGATACACACGCAGACACAGAGATACACAGATACATAGACACAGACATACACAGATACATGCACAGACACACAGATACAGACACAGAGATACAGATGTACAAACACAGATACACAAATACACCCACAGACACACACAGATACAGGTATACACACACAGATACACAGACATGCAGATACACACAGATACACAGACACACAGAGACACACAGATACAGACACACACACAGCTACAGTGGCCAGGTCCTGCACAGGAGTTGGCAGGAAGTGAGGGGCTGCATCCGCAGTGTAACAGCAGAACTGAACGAGGTCTCATGCCTTGTAACAAAGCACATTGCATAGCGACAGGGTGGGCCGGGGCTGCCCTGGGAGCAGGGATGGAGGATGACCTCAGCATGGCAGGCTCCAGAACACCCAAGTTCCCAGCCAGGGGCCTGACTGCAGGAAAGCCCGAGATCTCTGAGATCACATTTGCTGTCGTGTGTGCAGACGCATCAGTTCAGACCGCCGTGTGCATTAGGTGTGGACATGGCTGGCAAGCAGCCTGGACGGTGACCCCATCCTTGTGGGATGGTGACGCCAGGGAACCCGTGACCACCGACGCACCAGTTCCTGTCCCAGAAATACTGTCTCCGTCTGTGCACAGTGACCTTTAGGGGAACTTGCCTTGCTTCCTAAGCCGCGACTCAGCCGGGGCTGTGTAAACTC